GGGGATGCTACGGCAGTTCCCAGAGTGAACAGAAGATGCAGCAGCGCAGCAATGTTCCACTTTCCAAGTGGTCTCTGGGTGTGCCGGAATCTTTCTTCGAATTTTTTTGCTGTCTCGAGCTCTTTGCTACCGTCAAGCTAGGTACTGTCTGTATCTGTTCTGGGTGCTGCCCTTCTCGCTGCTAATCTTGCTCTGGCTGCAGGCTCATCGACTCTCCTGGCAAAAGGAAGCCGGTTCCCTCACGCCCTATTAAGATTACCTCCGCAAGGCCATCCACCATTCTTGTAGTACAGACAGGAGCGTACTCCGGGATCAATTTGACGTCGAAGCTTGATCCTTGGCGTGACCCTGGACAAGTCCACGGCTTCCAGCCTCTTCTCTCCCGATTTTCATGTTCACGTCCATAGCGGAGAGCGATCCCTTCCTGCCTTTGATCACTTGCAGTCTTGTAGCCCCTGGTGCATCCATACGGTATGGTTCACCCATACGCGCCAGAGTAAGTCAGAGTGTCTGATACCAAGACTCTACTGTGCTCATCAGGTCCTTGCGCCGCCCAATCCTTCCGTTCCCTACCAGCCAACCGAGCAGTTCTAGGACGCCACGTCCTGAGCGGGTCTCGAGTAGGTGTTCATCTCTTCATGTGGGAGAGCCTGGGCGGGGCTGCAGCTGCGTCGGGGCGAAATCGAGGATACAGAGAGGGGTTGTACGGGGGTTGGGGGATGTTACGAGCATATACGTGTGTCACGAATAGCATCAAGGGGATGTGACTTACCCATCTTCTTTGGCATTAGGGCCCTTGTGTTGGGCCTGGGTCGGTGGGGGAGCATGATATTGCGATTGAGACTGGCTGTTGTTGTTGTTGTTGTTTTGGTTGTTGTCGTCCTCATGGCGAGCGACCGTGGTGGACGGGCCGCTTCCGAGATTGAAGTCGATATCGTCTTCGTCTTCGTCTTCTTCTTCATCGTTGCCGTATTGTCCGTTGCCTCCATTGTAGTAGCCTTGCTGACTGTAGTCGTTGGATCCTCCGTAGTTGTCAGCAGCCGACTGCTGGACGGCGGCAGCTTGTTGCTGCTGCTCTTGCTGTTGCTGCTGTTGCTGCTGTTGTTGAGAAGGCTGCTCAGTAGCTGAAGTCTGAGCTGTGGTAGGGGCGGAAGCTGGTGCAGCGGCTGGCTTTGAGGCAGCGGGAGCGTCGTCGTCGTTGTACCTAGTTCGCAGGAGTGTCAGATCATGTTCAGATTGGGTGTCACCAGGGTACTCCAAATAACATACAGATCGTCGAAGAGGTCGTCCTCGTAATTCTCTGCTTCGGCCATTTTGGCGGTTGTTGTGTGTTTGAATACCGGGTATCGAAGATGGAAAAGAGATGAGAGTTGAAGTTGATCTAGACTAGTATTTGTGTGGGACGCTGAGATGGCGTTAAGGTGGCGTAGGATTGCCGGAAGTAGACCAAGCCGAAAAAGGTCTGACAGAATACACAACTTAGGATGATCTAGTCGTCGAGAAGCAGCGAGACGCGACTGGATCGTAGTGGTCGAGTTGTCGTCGCAGGAGATGCGGCGGATGGACCTCGGAGCAGCTCAAGTAGAGCCCGAGGTGGGTGGAAGTCGAGTCCGTCAGGTGCTTGTACAGTTTCCTCCCTCAGATCAAAAGACCCGGATTTGGGCACGGATTGGGTGTACAACTAATGAAGTCGTCGGTTGTGGTTGTGATTGCTGCTGTCGAGGATGACTTGGGTAGAAAAATGAAGTTGGAAAGTGTGGAAGAGTGGACGTCGTTTGCTTTTCAAGTGAAGAAACCGGAACTCCATCAGGTCCATCCAGTCTGCCTGCCTCAGTCCCAAGGCGGAGTGCAAGTGAAGCCAGGGCCTCGCCGCTGCCCTGCAGTCCCAGTTTGGCGCCGAGTGTTAAGGTTCGGTCGGGTGTGGACCCCGATTCAAGGCACCGGCACCGCGAGTTGGGGCGCTTCCGGCAACCATGACTTGGGGTCGGGTACTAACAAAAAGACGTTACTACATATCTACCTCTACGGCACTTGCCCAGGTGGCAGTCGCGTGTCTAGAGGTAGGTCTGCAAGGGCCAATTAGGCGCGTAGGCGGTGAGAAACAGCCTGTACAACGAGGCCTGTGTACCTGCGGGGAAGGGGGTGGTCCAGCGCACCTTATCACACCCTCTGGGCTGCCCATGCGCTGTAGCTAGTGGTTGTGAGCGACATCGGCTGCCCGTCTGAGGCTGGCGAACAGCTGGCGAGCTGTGACAGGCGGACGGTGTCCGTCAATCACTGCTGGAACAGGAAGGCAAAGACACCGAGATGAGATGAATGATGGGCAAGATGGACGTGCCCGGTTGCCAAAAGCCAAGCCGCCCATGTGTTGGTTGTTAGTGGCCCCGAGCCTGGCAACCGCTGTGTACCCAGGAAACAAGCCGATGGGCTTAACACGACCACGGCATCAATGAATTGAAGGGAACAGGAACGGCCATCCATTGTCTGCCTGTCTAGCTCCATGGAGATTCCCTCCGTCCCTTTCAACGAACGACATTCCAGTTGACCATGGTGATGCCATTGCGCTGGTAGACCAAGGCGAAATCACCTATCCTGTTTGTATACTACCCACTCACATAATGTTTTCTTCTTCGAGCTCGGGCAAGAAAGCGTCTCCCCAGGTACGTGTTAGTGCTTCATTTCCTCACTCCAATGATGCTAACAGGCCATGATGTCGCTACGCCAGCAGGAGATGGTGCAAGTTGGTATGTCCTGCCCGATGACTACAGCCCCCCTCGTTGTTTGTTGTATAACCAGTTGCTGATCCCATGTCCCGTCATGGCTTCAGACAGGTCCGAGTATGTCTCAAGTCCAATTCCTAAACTCAAAGACGGAAACACTGACATGACTCGGACAATGCGACAGCTCTGGCTCCCCTTTTTGGAGAGCGCCCCAGAAGGATGCCCCGCTAAAGAAGACGACCACTCGCGACTCGGGCAAGGTCGTTGGCGCTGCCTATTCCCATGCCGACATGCTCAAGTTTGATTCATTGTGCGTTGGTGCCGGCGTTGCTGTTTGGATATCTCTCTTGGAAACGACGTGTTTGCTGACTATGGCTTTCTTGGACTAGAAATCTGTCTAACGCAGGATCGCGACCACGAACCCCTCCTCCCTCGTCCTCTGCCCTCGGCCGAACCACTTCCAATAGTACAGCCTCGCCCCATATCAAAGGGGTGACCTCACCTCCTTTCCAGAACTACATGAATTTTATAACGAGTACCAACGAAGACTGGGCGGCCGATGACGCAGACGATGTATACGCCTACGAAGACGATGGTGACGATGACTTTGGGCTTCCCAGTCTGTCCAGCATGAAGAGGAGGTCGCGGCGGATAGCAGCGCAGACTGAACAAGGAACCAGCCGAGGAACTGCGACAAACACGCTCACAGACTCAACCGGACGTCGATACTCGGACAGCGCCGACATAGCCATCGAGCGACCAGCATCTACCTACCCAATGCCCAAGAAGACCGAAGGCAAGATCCTCCGACCACAGTACAGAGACATACTCCGCGATCCCGCAAACGCACTACACCTAATCAACCACCCTTCCGTACCACTTAATGCTTCCCAGAAGGAAATCGATGCTGTCAATTCGAGGATAACTAGGATCAACAAATTCAAAAAGATTCTTCAAGCATCAACCATCCCTCTAAACGACCTTCGAGCCCTAGCCTGGTCCGGCGTACCAGAAGAAGTTCGGGCCATGACGTGGCAGCTCCTGCTAAGCTACCTCCCCACCAGCAGTGAAAGGAGGGTGGCCATACTGGAGCGCAAACGAAAAGAATACCTGGACGGCGTACGACAAGCCTTTGAACGAGCAGGTGGCGCTCCACCACCGTCCACCGGAAAGGGAGGCGGGGGCAACCGCGGCCTAGACGAAGCCATCTGGCACCAGATCAGCATCGACGTCCCTCGAACGAACCCACACATTGAGCTCTACGGCTACGAAGCAACACAGCGCTCTTTGGAGCGTATCCTCTACGTATGGGCGGTCCGACACCCAGCGAGCGGCTACGTACAGGGCATCAACGATCTGGTGACGCCCTTCTGGCAAGTCTTTCTAGGCACATACATCACAGACCCAGACATAGAGAGAGGCATGGACCCGGGCCAGCTGCCCAGGGCGGTGCTGGACGCCGTCGAGGCCGACACGTTCTGGTGCCTGACGAAGCTGCTGGACGGCATACAGGACCACTACATTGTTGCGCAACCGGGTATTCAGAGGCAGGTAGCAGCGCTGAGGGACCTGACGCAGAGGATCGACGCCGGGCTGGCGAAGCACTTGGAGGAGGAGAACGTCGAGTTCATTCAATTCAGCTTCAGATGGATGAATTGTCTGTTGATGAGGGAGATTAGTGTCAAAAACACGATCAGGATGTGGGATACTTACATGGTTAGTTTCTTCCCCCCCCC